TGTTACCCAGGCTGGAGTGCAATGGCGCGATCTCGGCTCACCGCAACCTCCGCCTCCTGGGTTCAGGCAATTCTCCTGCCTCAGCCTCCTGAGTAGCTGGGATTACAGGCACGTGCCACCATGCCCAGCTAATGTTTTGTAGTTTTAGTAGAGACGGGGTTTCACCATGTTGACCAGGATGGTCTTGATCTCTTGACCTCGTGATCCACCCACCTCGGCCTCCCAAAGTGCTGGGATTACAGGCTTGAGCCACCGCGCCCGGCCTTTTATAGCTTTTTTTTAAAAAACTTTGTTGAGAGTTTATTTTCTTGATTGCTTTAAATTTCCTATTAAAGTCTTGAATTTAACAATCGGCTTCTCACACTTCAGCAATCTATGAAATATTTTGTACCGTTTTATTTCTTCTAAAAGGGCTTAAAGTCAAATAAAGATCAGTTTTTTTTTTTTTTGAGACGGAGTTTTGCCCTTGTTGCCCAGGCCGAAGTACAGTGGTGAGATCTCATCTCACCACAACTTCCACCTCCCGGGTTCAAGCGATTCTCTTGCCTCAGCCTCCTGAGTTAGAGGCATGCCTCACCATGCCTGGCTAATTTTGTATTTTTAGTAGATATGGGGTTTCTCCATCTTGGTCAGGCTGGTTTTGAACTCCTGACCTCAGGTGATCTGCCCACCTCGGCCTCCCAAAGTGCTGGGACCACAGGCGTGAGCCACTGCGCCCAGCAAAAATCATTATTTCTTAGAGGTTTAAATGAGTGATGTCAAAACCCTTTGAAGTGATGGATATGTTAATTACCCTGATTAGATCATTACACTGTATGCCTATATCAAAATCTCATACTGTACCGAATAAATATATACGATTATTATGTATCAGTTAAGAATAATAAAAGCAGCCGGGCGCGGTGGCTCAAGCCTGTAATCCCAGCACTTTGGGAGGCCGAGGCGGGTGGATCACGAGGTCAAGAGATCGAGACCATCCTGGTCAACGCGGTGAAACCCCGTCTCTACTAAAACTACAAAAAATTAGCTGGGCATGGTGGCGCGTGCCTGTAATCCCAGCTACTCAGGAGGCTGAGGCAGGAGAATTGCCTGAACCCAGGAGGCGGAGGTTGCGGTGAGCCGAGATCGCGCCATTGCACTCCAGCCTGGGTT